TGCACGTGTGCAACACTGATTTTAATAGATAAAAAATACCAGATAGAGTAATATTAAATCGCAGTTGGAAGGTAGTGAAGAAGTTCCTCAAAAATGATTCCATTTACGACATAGGAAAGACCAATAATGCAGTGGAAGAATCCAATTAAACAATTATGTGGAATTATGTGAATGAGAGAGACTTAAACAGCGAAGAATGAAAAAGCTGCAAATTCTGTGCGAATGAAGAGGCGAAAAAGCTGAAGTGCCCATGTGTTAAGTTTAATCTAACCCTAGCTTATTTCTTATATTTACAAAATGTATGTAAAATGATTATCTAAAAAAGCATGATTAAATAGCTGAGTCTTTCTAGGCCTTCTGCTCTCAAGCGAAAACCCTTCCAGAATTTGTTCCATTATGCAGTTTCGTTTGTTTTAGATGTGCTACAGCGAATATGTGGCGCTGAGCCTGTTCGAGGGCTACTATTTGCATCAGTTCGATCGCTTCTGCGCTTACGCTGCAGACTGTGAGCAACGTGGGCTCCAGAACCAGTGCCTATCGATGGATGAACTGGACGCTCAAGTACTGGCCACATTTGTTGCCAAAATTAACACGAACGGGTACAAGAAATCCGATGTCAAGTATTCTCGGTAAGGCTTCTCCATCAGTGCACCGGAGAGGGATTCGACGTTCCTTCAGGAAAGAAGTTATTTCAGGTTTCCTGGCTAAACAACTTTTTCAAAGCATTAGTGAGCTGGCATGGTACTAATCCGGCTATCTGATATTATGCCTTCTTTTGCACCGCTTAAGCATGTGGCTAATGTTTGTCAAGCTGATAACTCTTCGGATATCACTCTTTACGTATACTAGTTATCAGCAATGTGCAATATATTAAGCGTGATCTGAGGTGAGATGGAACGGAAACTGCATGCTAAACTACTACATATTGAGAGTTTTAATGGCGCCCGTTCTGATTCCTCTAAGAAAAACTGCCTGCGAAAGAAGCAATCTACTAATCGCTTCTGAGCCCTTCCTGTAATTTATCAGTCCGAACTCAGGCTTAA